ATATTTATACAAATGTTTTAAATCGATCTGTCTTCATGGATTATTTCTGTTGCTTGTTTCAGATGCGGTAAGTCAAATCAATTCTTAATCATCACTGGATTGCATCTATAATAAGGAAAAATGAAACGAGGTTAGTAATGAAACCTTGTTTAGTGATAAAGTGAATAATCATAGGATCGCAAGGGCTACATAGCGTTTGCATGAAATTACGCGGTTGAGTGCCGATGACGATAGACATCGTCTTCGGCATGTGCAACGAAGATGCAATCCTGTGGCGCATTAGCGCCGGCGCAAGCTGGCTATCAATATTAACAAGATAGTAATCGGACGTCAGATATAGAGACACGTCCGATCGATAGCGGATTGCCGGTTTCTCGCGAGAGACAAGTTGATACGATGCTGAGATGTTCCACCAGCATTGCCTTTTTCTACCGATTGCCGACCGCGTCGCGGTATTTTACGCATGAGCGAGTTCTCGCGCGTAAACGCGTCTCAAAAGAATTAAGTATACCGAATTGATAATAAGGCAATGAATAGTGATGAGCCGGGTTGTGCACGTCATACATCGAGACACTGTATCTTGACATATATAAAATTTTATCTCCGCGTCACTTGGCACTTGTCCAATTGGATTGCCATTAATCATGCACTTAAATCTATGTTGTCGAATGTTTTTCTCTTCGTGACACATTTTCAACGTAATTAAATTAAGATGTAATACATGTTATATTGTATATATAAAACGCCATCAATTTGCCTCGTACAAAAATTATTAAAAAATATATATAAAAAGGATTATTTCAAAAGTGAAACAAGACAAAAAAATATATTAATCTATGTAATTTAACGCAGACCAAACCGATTTAGATATGCTTCAGACTACGATTTGATTGGGAACAATTTGTATAATAAAAACAGTCAAAGTAATTTTAAAAGTTTTATAATGAAACATTATTCAATGTTGATATTTTAAGTTCATTAATTATGTAGGATTAAATATATTCGTAAAATTTTAATTGCTAGGTAATTGAGCGTATTTCCAGAAGGGTCGCCTTCGAGGCAGAAGATTAAGTGGGTTGATCGTAAATTTCTAGATAGAGATAATCGCGCGACACGTATTTGCTCGCTGACAGGGGGGAGGAGAAGATGACAAAGTTGCGCGTCCCGCGAAAAATACCGAAATGATCGTTCTCAGATTTCTGAGTGTAATCGAACCGAAGAGACGGTCGATCGGATGGCCAATTTGCCTAGCGATTAGGCGAACTTTTTCTTCTCGTCTTTTAGGCGTATCGCCTCTCTTCTTCGCGTCGTAAAGTGAGATGGGGATCGTCGCTGCATTAATGAAGGGGGACGGGGGATGCGTCGCGTCGCCGAGGAATCGCGCCCGAGGGGACGCGCCAGCGAACGAGGCTTAAAGTGTCGTAATAGCGATTGCGACGTGGTCCATAAACATTGGCCGACGACGGTAGACGACGTTGAGTTCATCGGGAATGCGTTTCGTCGCCGCTGGCGATGCTCGTGTGCGGCTCTCTCAAAGGCAAACGGTATCGGGCCCATTTGATGTTTGCAGTCACTATTATGTGGACAGAGTTTACCGTACCGAGCGACCTTAGATGATCGCTTGAACGGGTGTACGTGATGTTCCTTTCAAAAAAACTACCTACAACTTGCTCTTTTCGAAAAATCGTTATTTATCTGATAAAAGAAAACAGTTCTGACTTGAGAAAAAAAAGAACTTGCGCTCCGAAGCGTTATTTTCGGCGAAATAAATCGCTCCCATCGTGTCAAAAAGCTCGTCACCTGTGTAGTTAAAGTTTGAACGTTTATTTATGGAAGATCCAATCTGGAAAATGCCCTAAACATGTTAGTAACGCATCGATCGCGGTTCGTCGCTAACGGATATGAACGGAATATACCGCCGCTAATGCATACAACAAGTAATGCCGGGTATCCTAACTTTACGGCGTCCATCACGAACTCATTCCGCTCACCGCAGCTGCTCCCGCTAATACTTCAACATGGGCTTCGCTGTTAGTCGAGAGATTCGCAACGGATTCAAGACGAGCCGGAAGGCTTCGATGCATGCCGGTAGTACGAGTCGGGGTTTCGACAAAGTGGTGCACCGACGGTACGAAATTAGCTTACGGATTCGCGATAAGCGGCTTACGTTTCGAGCAAGGATAATCCAGCGCCCCGCAATCGATTCTTGATTGTCGAGCGAACACTTTGAACCCGTGCTTCGACTCGCCTCACCCCGCGCCTGTACACGCGCGCTGCCCTTAACGTTCCAAACAGAATGCGCTGCCTATTCTATCTCGTCGGAGTAACGATCTCGACACCTTCGTCAGAGGAGCGATGGTACGATTATTTCGGGTCAACGTCCAATGGACCAGAACCGGGCCTATTTCGACCGTTGCGCTGTAACCGCGGCAGCTGCAGCATCAACTGGCGCCGATGAATGCGCGAATCGGCGCCAGCGTCACGTCATAAATCACGATAGCAGCGAATGTTTTTGGCCCGCATTGATCTGGCGTTCTGTCAGTTCTAAAGGACCAGTTGGTTTCTCCAATCACGTATCACCTTGATATTCGACATAAGAATATCAAAAGAGGAAAAAAAAATCGTCGGATTGATTGCGTTTTTATTCTTATATAAATATTGTAAAATATCGAATTACAAAATGTATGCAGAGGATATAGCTGAGAAATAAGAAACGTGAAAAAATTTTAAAGGTGCAATATATACATATAACTTACATAATTATAGTATTGTATTATAATATCAAATATCATTGTAATGTAAATGCATTTTATAGATAAACTTTATGTGTGTTTAATCGGTGCTACGAAATATATTCGTTGTAATATAACAAAATGTGCGTCGGGAGTGCCGTTAATGCCGGGAGTGTCGTTTAAAGTGTCGCGCGATTTTCGCGTTTCGGGTACGCGCGCGAGCAATGCGTGCGCCGCGAATGTGTGTATGAGTGTCTCGAAGGACCACTGAAAAGAGGAGGAGAAAGCCAAGAAGGAGGCATCGGGCGATAGCAGAGCAACGATATGATAAGTAATTTATCATAAAGAATATATTTTTATAGTCGTAGTGGATACGTATATATTTACATTAATATAATTTTTTGCGTATGAACTAAAATTATAGTAATAAATAGATAATGGAGACTCAGTTCGATTTAGCAATTCAGTTAGAAAACGTTGAACAACTTTGCGGCAACGTTTTATTTCGTTCGTAATGTAGTATTACGATAGAGAATTGTTAATTAAGACGCTCACCTCTTCTCCTTTGATGTCCCTATATCGAACCCATTTGCCTAGTCGCGGTCTCCAATACTCCAGTAGATACGCCTCTGCGTATTCAACACCCACGCCGTTTCCGAAACGGCCTTGGGTAGCGGTGGCCGTGATCAAGTGGATCGTATGAAGGTCGATTTCCAACCATTCTCGAGCTTCCTTGGTGATTTGGTTCTTAGGACACCAGGCGCCGCCGAGGTTCTCCGATTTCAGTCTATAAGCATCAAGTATCGGTTTAATATTGGACAGAGAATAGCGAGTATCGAATTAATATTTGGTATTTTTATACCTTTAAAGGCACGCCAAGATGCTTAAATATATATATAAATATCCATCGTTATTTTATATTTAGCAATATTTATCTAAAGTTGTGAGAAATATAAAATCTGTTAAAATGTGACGCACAAAATTGTAAAGGAATTCTTATGTTTTTTCTGTTCGGTCATTAATTTGGAGTGCCACTGAATAGCCGTGCATGTTTTCAGTTCGGTCTCTCGTTTAAGCCTCATTCGCCGACCGTCTGCTCATAAAAGTAACGATCTAATTAGATGTGAAAGTATCGAGTTAGTTTCTCGCCAGCACCGTTCATCTCGCGCTATCTAAAGATCAACCGACGCGCGGTTGGCTATCGAAGTCCTCCCACCGAATTCCGATATTATCGCGTTTACGTGCACGAGAAATCGGAAATTTCGTGCTTTCGCTCGAATGTTATTTCGCTGAGGCTACATGGATTGCGCGCACAATGTGAATCGGAATTATATTTTAATGAAGCTTGGAAGATTTGGAAAAAATTTAGAGTAAAACGATTCTTTCTCTTTGAAAGAAAGCGCGCTTTTGTGATTATTGAACAACATTTGTAAAATATGCGAAAATCACGAAAATAATATTTCTACATTGCAAATATTATTATAGCACTGTGAAATAATTAGATTTATAATTAAAAGTTAAAAAAGATATCATTCAGTATTGCTGCAGGACGCGAGAAAAGTGACAAATGTAGTCGCAAATACAAATGCAAGAATGAACTTTCCGACTCTGCAAATCTTGCGATCATCGAAAATCCGAAAGCTTATTGAGATTTCCAAAGTCCGGCCCGATATAACTGTCGAATTTACATAGGCGGGAAATCGGAGATTCCGAGTGACCACGTATCATCTCGCGCAGGTGATATGGGTCGGACGGGAATACGCAGCCATTTATACGTTCAAGCTGTGCTCGCCTCGTGCTTCGGTTTTAATCTTCGAGGGGTCGAAAGCAAGGCAAGGAGGAAGAGAGAGCGAAAGAGAGAGAGAGAGAGAGAGAGCTCTGTGTCGGGGCCAGCATGAATAAAACATGAAGCGCGAAGCGCCTTCCCTAATTGCGTGGACCGTTTAAATGCTCGACTAAGAGTGGTGCTCCTTTTCGGCATTACGCTTCGGGTAGGTATAGTTATATACGGGTGGGTGTATTCTTCTCAAACTCTGCAGATTAGGAATCGCTGTGTGAAATAGCCACGCAGACTCAGCGCAAATAGCACTGGGAAAGATCGGCGAGACAGGCAACGATTCGTGCGACATTGCGCGAATCATACGAGACGTTTATCGCGATAAAATGAGATACATTACTTGTGATGAAAACGGCACAATAAACCGCATTATTACGGCACGTAATGATTATAATAATTTTCCTCGATAATGGGGAATATGAATAAAGTTGTTCACGGTGTTTGCGTCGTTGAGAAATCGCGTCACGGTTGTTCCACGAGGTGCTAATAATCACACCTTACGTTCGTCATTAGTCGAGCATGATAACGCGACTGCATTTCTCAATGGTGGCGCGCTTGCCTCGTCGTTATAATACCTCTGGCTGCTTTCGCGAGATTTACAACCTGCGTGGTGGAAGCGTCTCTTTATCGTTAACAACCGGCTCGCACGAGCTGGTTAGTCGAAGGTGGAGTAGAAATGACAAGGCGGAGGTTTTATACAAGCGAGCGGTGTAGCCAGGCTTTCTATCGTTCTGAGAAAATAAGATGAGAATACATGAATGTCAATGTATTTCACTTTATACATTGTTGACCGTAACAAGTATTTGGAGATGTTTTTATTTGCTTGTAAATCATGAAATTTGCAACAAAATTGTCGCTGGAAAATAATTAACTTTGAATAATCCAAAGAAGCTACTGTCACAAACAGATACTAACGTGATTTCGGGAGACTCGGTTGTGCATTGCGAGATTTTTGTAATGGATATTCCCGATAAACTAATAAAGGGAAATTATTTTTTGTTTGTAACAAATACCGATCGATATTATTTATTTAAAATACTGCCGGTGGCGAATTTTAATTTCCGCATTTGCACTGTATTGACAATAGCGATTTGATCGGATTGAAATCGGACGGCGTGAGCCCGACAGGAATGTTAAAGCGAATATGTTCAAAAATGATAAATGTAGCATGGTTGATAGCACTTGCTGATAGCAATGTGTGTCACAAAGGAAAACAAATAAATTTGTGGTATGTAAAAGCGTTCAAAGCGATTGCAAACAAACTGCTATTTTACATTCTCAAACAATATTCTTTAGTAAGATTTTAATGCATCATGAAAAAATTATAAGGATTTAGTTCGAAAGAAATATGTCGATCCCGTTTTGCTAGAAACTTTATCGTCTAATTGAAATATCATTCAAATAACAAAGTTTCGCTCTAAATTAAATGTAAATGTATGCAAACGCGAATTCACTTCTGCGAAGACAATATCTCGCCTCGCGCGTACCATGTTCTTTTTTTTACATCCTCAAAAATCCGCGGCGGTAACCGAAACCGGCTCGATTCTATTTATAATAACTTTCCGAGAGTGTTTGCGGCGGACGAGGATCGAAGTGTGTGGTCTCCCTGCGCGTTCTCCAAAAAGACGATTCGGTATAATCGTTTCCTCGGCGGTGGAACATGGCGCTGAACCACCGAAAACCCCGTGTCGTCCGCTCCGCACGACTGACACGGACGGCATTAAATCGAGCGTGGCGAGAGGAGGATGGTACGGCGAACTTAAATTTTCCATCGCGTCAAGCGCCCCGTGGCCGATTCTGCATCCGCCGGAATTAACGGGCACGTGACAGCGAGACTGCTCGCTATCTGCGCGCGTTAACGCGTCTGCATTATGCAAACCATCGATCGGATAGATTGACGGACATCTCTCCAGTCGCGCCGCCGGAGAGTGGCGGAGCAGCGCGGCGATCGATGGAAAAAGATTCGCGCGCGATTTCGTACGACAGAAGCACCATCAGCCGCGATCAGAATTTAATTTTGTGATGGGGAAAAAAAAAGTCCGTTATTACCGTTTCGATGACGACGTTGTCGGTCACGAGAAAATTGAATCTGTCACGTGGCGGAATTTTTATCGCGCGTTATCGTTACGGAGAGAAGTTATTTTTCAATCTAATATACAGCGATGTTGGATCTGTGCCATAATTGGAATAGACAATTGTTTTTTACGTTAACCGATTAATTACGTCGAATTATTTAAGTCTGATTCAATTACAGATAGATATCGCAGGCAATTAGATATTCAGATTGGACAGAGAATATCGGTTCGTCGACTGAAACGAAATTATTCTTTAGACGCATGCTGCTTGACGTTCATTTCTTAATCATATCTTCTCGATTTCTGCTCGTTAAACCCGTTTCAAAAATTCCGCTTTTATAAAACGGTCTCCGGCTTTGCGAATTAAACGAATACTAAAGGAGTTCTCGAACTAGTTCTCCATGGACGAATAAATAGCAAAGAGCTTCTGTCGCTAAGACGGGGACGGCCTCCTTTGTTGGCAACGTAAAATATATATTTACGTTCTCGGGCTAAATGCCGCGCGACAATGAGCCCGCGCGACGACTGACTATCTTTTTGTCTACGGTGTGAAATGAGCGAGCCGCGCCTCTCGCGCAATAAATGTTATCGCGATAGACTGCACAGCCGGGCGAAAGTATCTTCCTAAAGAATCGTTGTGTTTCTCCGTCGTGAAATCGAAAACACGGCCCCGGCACTTACCAATCGAATCTTTATTGGCACTTGCTGCTCGTTATCGTTATCTCTACGTGCTGCGAGATGCATCTGCAGCGCAAGCATTGCAGAACTAAATGACCCTAAAACCGGGGCTATTCAAATCGCGCGTTCTATTATAGTTTTTATAAGAAAAATTACCCAGTTAATTTTATACTAAATCGAGGATGTCGTGCAATGTGCATTTAGAGTGCTAATCAATGCCGTTTGTCTACGTGTACAATGATGCCCTATTTGGCGCTTTCAATATTCAAATCGTCAATTAAATAGACTAAATCGAGAATGTTATTTAATATGCATTTAGAGTGCTAATTAATGCTGTTTGTTTATGCGCAGAATAATGTTTTTTACATCTTGAATATCTAAATCATCAATTAGCGCAATTTAACTAGACGAATAATGAAAAATAGATTGCTACTTTGTGAATTATTTCTAGATTTTTCATTTATCTACAGCAACTTGTTTTATAATTGCGAATGGTTCTCCATCAAGATCTTTTGAGCGCAGATTTTGAAAGGGAAATATAATAGATAAATACCAGAAATGATTTCACCGGAACGTTTGCGAAACATCAGTCAGATCGGAGGCTATTTTCGTCCGCCATACTCGAGGCGTCTCTGTTCCAATCGTTCTCTGAAGTCTCGACTCGGTGTTGAGAAGGAATAAGATCGAAAGTAGAATCCACTTTACCATCGTTTGACGCGCAAATGTGATCGGCCGTGATTATAAGCGGCGAACCTGTCTCTTTTAACCGTCGTGTTATTCGCGCTTTTCTAAATTACAGCGTATCAAGTAATGACTCTAAGTAAGAGCTATTACGAGTTCGTAAAAATTCGCTCAACTCAACGCCAGTACGTTCTTTCTGCAGTGAATATTTCGTATCGCGCAGTTTCCTGCCGTTTTTCTATTTAGGAAAATGGTTCGTATCATATTTCCAGCCGCGTTCGAACGTGTGCGTGAAAGTGCTTGTATGGAAATAACCATTGCTTACCAATTGAAAGCTACGGCAATATTAACGGTGCACATTTACAACGTCACGTAAACAATATTAACTAAATATTCCGCTTTCACGTTGAAAATAAACTCGTGAGCTTAATTGTATGCATCGATGTAATTAGCACGTAATTACAGTTCGCCTGGCAAATAAATTAAAATGCGCGCCTATTTTCGTACCGTACAAAATTACGCGGCGAAAGTCGTCCTGTGATTTCTCAACCCCTGTGCAATTTCTCCCGGTATCTCGCCCGCTCTATGTTCTTGCTGGCGTCTTAATTGCACCCATTCTGGAAATGCCGTTGAACGGAAACGCGAGGGAAAGGTACGGCGGAAACGTGCGAAAGAACTTGCAGCTGTGCGATTCTCGAAACGAACGTGTGGTACGAGATACAACGCGGTATTCTCCCCTTTTTCTTTATTCGCGCCGATTGTACGTCAAAAATTTTTCACTCGATAATTGGAAAAGACGCGCTCCGTTAGTTCTCGCGATACGCGTCTGTTTATTCTTCTATTCACGGATGATTTATCGCGGTTTACGCGGTTATAACTCGAGTTTTTTTATTCCAATTTAAATTAAAGAAGCTTTATTGTATTCAAAGGAAAAAGAATTTTTCTTTATATACGAAAAACTCTCTCGACAAATGACTTGCGAAAGAAATTTTCCAGAAATACGGAAATGAGTATATTGAGCAGTGAATCATGTCCTCTAATATTTTTCTGCATGAGAGAGAGAGAGAGTTTCATGTCAAGCTTTATGTAACGGTTTAAATTACGAACCACTTATGTATCTTATATTCCGGATGTTTTTATTCCGAGGGATTTTTCTCGTGTAACACCGTGCATCTCCAGGTGCGTTGTTTTAATTCACGACGGCGGACGTTTTCAGTATAACGAGAGTCCGGGAAAGCGCGCGGAACCCGACTTTACGTTTTCCTTTTTTTTCCCCCCCTTTCTTCTTTTTCCTTTTTGAACGCACGTTCTCTCGACGCCCGCGGTGAGCGAGGTAGAAAAATGCGGCGTAACCGCGGCGATTCGCATTGGGGCGAAATATTCGTCGGCCTATCATCTCGTTGAATTCCGAAGAAAATGGCGGGGCAATTCCCTCTTCTCCTTTTTTTTTGTCGGCCAACACAAAGGGAGAGAGGCGCATCGCGGCTGTAAACGTCCGCAGCATCTCGCGCGCCCGAGGCCGGCCTGTATTAAATTAGATGGTGACGTGCGCGGCTGGTGGAGGATACCGAGTGCTCGCGTGCGCGCGCGCACGATGCGGGGGCGCAGCGGAGCTCATCAAGACTCGGAGGCCCATTCAGCCGGTCATTGTCTGCGGTAATGGAATGTATTAATATCGGAGAGCCCGCGGGGCCGTCGACTAACGCTCCGTGTATACCCCCGGTCTGGTTGATACCGCGCGCACCCGTTCGGTTCTGCAACCGCGGCCTGCTGGGCTGGGATACGTCCCGTGGGATGGAATATTCGTATAAATCGCCGCTGCACTGCAAACCGCCGGCGAATACCGGGGCCCCGCGCATTAATATCTAAACGCGGGCGCGCAAGAGGGAGAAATAGAACGGGCGTGAGCGTAAAACAGAGAGAGGGGAAGAGGTCGGGGGCGCAAGGTCGGGAGGGGGGGGGGGGGAGTGCGAGGAGATGGTCGGCGCACGTACTCTGCCAGTTGCATCTCGTATTCATGCGTTGCATCGGCGGCTACCAGAGGCGTTACACGGCCAACCCTTTCGCCACTAGCTAGGTGTAATACTCTTTTTAGTCCAGGTATGATACGTCAAAGGTCCTTTTGTGATAATTGCGTTAGAGGACGCGGGAGAGGCTTCTGCGTGTGGCACGCTGAAGGCGATTTCTGTTTTGCGCTGCAGCCATTTTGCAAATGTTTGCGAGATAGAAGGGGTATGAATGAAGCGAAACAGCGGACAAAATGTAGAGATAATGCAGGCGGAAATTAATTTGGAATGGAATTAATTCTGCCGTCGTACTTAATCATTTATTAATTCGCTATAAAGCAAAAAGCTTACGTTAAACGTATATTCGCAATTAAACTCGCATTGGATTATTAATTCGTAGCGAAATGTAGCGCAAGTTTTTAAGGCTCTTTCAACTATCAATGTTTGTCATTGTTGTAAATAATTGTGCGCGTAAAACAGCACGGTTATGGGACGTATCGAATAATGACGCGGGAATTATTAACGCAAAACAGAACGCACGTATGGCAGTATGTAAATCCCCGGTCGGCCATAAATTCGCGTTGAATAATTTTCGTCAGTCGCGATTAAAAATAAATTCGTTTTTAAACCGAAGAACAAACCGGCGTTCAGGGAGAAACGATTTAACAGCTCTATAAATATTCATTTTGCACGAGCAAGTGCCAAACGAGAAACGATAGCTATCGAAAAGATACGTGGATTACTTAATTATACGTTGCTGCTCCGAGAATTTATTCTCGCGGTAGAGATAGGCGTTAATTTATAATTAGGCATCATAAGCTTTCTCGTGCGCCCACCGTGTCGCAGACTTTTTTTTTTGTTTCTGTTGCTGCGCGACGGCGAGAGATGTCGACTAATCTCCGTTAACTAGATCTTCGCGTATAAACAGGACTAAAGCTACGCCCCGTTAGATTAGAAATAATTACGTTCGCGATCACCTTGCTCTCTTTGTTGGCGCGTAATAATGTCTTTCGCCATAGATTTACAAACCTGATATTCTGGATTTTACGTATTAACGAGCAACCGGGCGTTCCGCGAGCTTTTAGTATTCATGCGCGCGCACAGCGCGGAGGCGTTACAATTAACCCTTTCACGAAGCGAAGGATTTACCCGGTCGACGTAAAATCTCTGTATATATATTTTTTTAAATTATTTCTAAAAGTAAGAGAGAGAGAGAGAGAGTAGTGTTTCAACTTATTACTTTGTAACAATACAAATTATAAGACGAAAGCAAAATTTTTTGCCGTCTTTACAAATACTCAGCTTGAAGCGTAATTTACGTAGCGCGTGAAAGACGCGGTCGGGATGAGTTTTTGCGCGCGCTTACGCACACCCCGCGATATCGGTCGCGTCGCGCAGCGACCCGATCGCGGGTGCATTGAGCGCAACAGAAGGCGCCGGTAGATACGAGTGATCGATGGCGGTCGGGAGGACTATCCGGATGAAAAACTGTCGCTTACCGTGCCAGGTGGGGACCGACGTTTCCGGTGTCGAAGCTGGAACTGGCGTTGATATCCGCGTCCGGGATCGCCCGGGACTCCATGCCGAGCGGCGCGATGCATTGGGCTGCAACAAACGAAACGTGGCGTCGCCGAGGTTAAAGCAGAGGTTTGAATTTATATGCGCCTCCTCTATAGCCGTGTCGGCGTGCATCACGGCCGGATCATAAACGGCTAAATAACCAGCTAACCGAGATGGATCTGCGCGATAGCCGGTTTACGCTCTCGTGTACGGCTGCCTGTCGTGCGGGTGGAAGTTACGGTCCGAGGCCGGTACCTGAGCGCGGAAGGGGGAATGGGGCCCGCCTCGACGTTACCGTATCTTCTGGACCGATCTAATTGTTTCATACGTGAACACAGCTGCCTTGTGAGGACTGCCGCTGCCGACCGCACTGTCGCGCCGGTGCCGGGAACGGGATATCTTGGCGCGCGAGATAAACCTGCGGTGTATTTATTGCGCCGTTGTGTCGATCGCGTATTGCGTCCTCGGGAATGGCGAAAAATGACGTCGATAGCGCGCGGACGCCGAGAAACGGAGCGCGAAGAACGTGTACGCGTATAATTTTTACGCCGGTCGTAATAAATTCACGGTGTGTTTTTGCTTTCCGTTTTTTTTTTAGGTTGCGGTTGTTGTGCACGCGCGCTTGACTTTACAGGCTCTCGTCTCGTCGTAACTGCATACTCATTAATGAGGGTCATAAAGCGCTTTATCTCTCCGAGATTTAATATCTGAAAAGAGCCCTTCTCCCGCGCACACGCGAGATCGCTCGGTCCCCGCGCGTATCCACCTCGACGAGTATCAAGCGGCCAATGACAGGGTTAAGGGCCATCGGAGAAACGATACCGTCTACTTTGCATACATTATCCCGGTCTCTGAGGCGCGCACGCATTTTCGAGAGGCGTTACCGCGGTTCGTCCGCGCGGCGCAATAAAGTTCCAACAAAGTATGATGTATGTTCGCATTTATAGCGCATTGCGTCACGGCGGTATCGTAAGGGACGGGGGATCCACGACATTTCGCGTTTCTTTTTTTTCAAGGCGCCATCCACCGCCCACGCGTTATCGGTCCTTTATCTCGGAAACGCGCGGCCCAAAGACGCGATTATCCAGCCGCGAGAGCGTATCGGCTGTTCAGTTCGACAGTCTGGATGCTCCATTCCGTGTTGTGTCAAAGCCGGCGAATTCACAGACGCGTATGCTGATACACAACCGAGTCCTTGTAATTCGACAAAGGAGCGTATATCGAAGCGTAACTAATTCGGGCACGACGACCCGATCGCCCGTTTTCGCCCCGGGGAGCCGCGTCGTGAACGCCCGCGCTTTGCCCGGAGCGCGGCGCGGAGTCTCGTGTGCATGATGCAGCGCGGCATCGATTACGGTTTATATATACGCGGCGTATCGAAGTAATGATACTATTACGCGGCACGGAAACTGCTAAAATTTGAAGTAGCCTGGGCGGGTCCGACGACGCGATGGTACACGTAGCCGGCAACGATAATGCCTAATGCCCGGATATCGAGTGCAGGTGTAGCGCGAGTCTCTAGGCGAGGGGGTGGAACCGGGCGGGGAGGGATGCAGCTTTGTACTATGGGAGCATATAACGGAAGGAATCCGCGCTAAGCCAACGCGGAACGGAATGGGCATGTAGGTGGCCATTAATACCGGCGAAAGTTTGCAGTGTTCTTCCGACGATACTAACCCTCTCCCCCCCCCCCCCCCCCGTCCCTCCTCTTCCTCCGTCCCTTTTCGTTCTCGCGTAATTCCGCGCCCGGTCGGCGCCGACCGGAGTGAAATGTGTATTTTGGTCTTACGTTTTAATCCAACGTACTTTATTGCCGAATGGAATCTCTGCGAAGCGCGTAGATTTGTCGCGGGAAGGGGTTCGTCGTCGCGGCTTAAGAATGTAATGCTCGCAATTTGCGCAACACGCAACTTGGTACGACTGTTTTGTCACCTCGGTCGGTTACGATACGAGTTTACGGCCGGAATCGTTTACCGGGCTTTGTTAGTTGCAAGTCCGCGGCGAGATGCTCGGAAACGATAGCGGGGAGAATCGGAAGAACATCTATCCGGGAGGGATACGAAGCGCCGCTTAATGCGCGCCACGATATCGAGCGCCGACGATTTCCGAGCGGCGCGATAGCATCGATCGTAATCGGCGGATGGAAAGTTGCGCGCCTACGAATGCGGTGCACGTCGCGGCATTGGCCGGCCGACCGGATTAATAATCGCCGCTATTATTAACGGAGCTCACCTCGTTATATCGCGATTCCGGTGCTCCGATATGTGTATATGTCCAACTTCGTCGGACTGCGCGAGTCGGCGAGCCGATTAGAATCAAGCGGCAGCGAAGTCGAGTCGGCGAAGGGAGGAAATGCCGATCGGCGCGCGGGACCAGTCGTTATTATTAATGAAGGCTCCCTTTCGATATATCGCGATGCCCGCCGCTAATATATGTCTTCGGATTCCGCGGAGCGCGCGGGGGGGATCGCGGGAAAGTCGTGTCCCCGCGATGAGCGGGAATGCGAAAGCGAATTCGAGATCGTCGCGGCGGGCCCGGACGAGCTATTATTATTAATGAAGGTCGGCCCGATACATACGCTGATTTTGTCGCTAATATATGTTCCTCGAATTCGGCGGGGTCAGTGCCGTTGCGCGATTCGAATCAATGGTAGGAAAGTCGTGCCAACAAAGGGAGGAAATACCGATCGGGATCGTTGGCGGGCCAACATGGCGAGCGAGTGGCTATTATTATTAATGAAGGTCCAGTCGATATATATCGCGCGCGCGCGCCCCCGCTGGAATTTTCACAAGCGCCCGCCCTCGATAAAGTTCGATCGTTTTGCGGCAGAATTCGTTTCCTTTGTCGGCGTGTCCGGTCTAACGAGCGACCGTGAGATATCGTAAATCGATTGTGAATAAGAGCTCCTGAACGCGACACCCTCTCCGCATCTCTCGACACCGATCTCCCTTCGTTAATCCTCGGTACGTCTGACTGCCGGCCAGACGTCTCGTGCGGATTTATCCTTAAAGGATGTCCGGTAAAAGTCGCTAGCAGGACATCACTCGAGGAAAAACACCATCGATTACTTCCCGGCTATTGGCGCTGAGATAAATTACGGGGAAAGGGAGGAAATCGCTGAGAGTGTTGTTCGAAAGGGCTCGTGAGGGGCTGCAATTATTAAGCGTTCTGTTATCGCGGCTACGATGCAATTTTTCTTCCACGTCCGGAAATCTATTTCTATTAAGCTGCTTCTCGCGAACGGAGCTTCGGAACAGGGCGATTACTTATTATTAATACGATAAGATGGGGTACTCCGCACTATACTCTTGTAAGTGGAATTTTCTTTATGCGGTAATCTCGTTGATTTATAAAGCAAAAATACTTTTTCATTAAAGCGTGTATATTCAAATCGATTATGGCGTTAATTAAAAGTTTTAGCGCATTATAGTTCAAATTTCTGAAGGCAAAGAAGAAAACGATGAAAAAGATGAAAAATTATTAGTTGAACAATTGAAATAAAATAACAATATACTAAATGAAAAATTTGTCAAATTTCTGTTACTAAAACTTTCGCGAAATGTGTTGTTTCAAAACGTATGTTATCGATATGCCATTTCTTGTCGTTGAAGAAATTCAGGTTTCGCCCACTCGAAGATCCGCAAGGAGACGTCGTTAAATGCAGACGCGCGCGGCTCGAATGATAAGACGCAACGTCTTCAGATACATAAGATACCTAATGACCCACGGTCAAAGCCGATGCCGGATCGAAAGTTCGTCGACTGCGGTGGCGTAAGTTCTGCGGTCGGGCAACCTCCCGGCGTCGTTAATAACTTATAAACGAAACAACATGCGCGCGCGGACGCGCAAGCCAAGGAGCTATAGCTACGAAGTTTCATGACGGGACGTTGCCGGGACTATAAGGCCTGCGGATTAGAGCTTAGAAGCTACTTACAGAGGTCCACGCCGTGGTAAGCGGGGGCGAGCGCGAGCAAAACGACGAAAAGGTGGACGGCAGGTGGCGCCCTTCTGGCGAGGAAATCCAAGCTTTTCACCATAGCTCCCCTTTCCTGCGAGGGCTTTACCCTCGCCCTTTCCTCACCGAGACTCCCGCCGTGCCATTTCTGCCTCGTCAACCTGAAACAAAAAAGCGCGCTATCGTTATGTCATGCCTGACGATTGTCGAGTTGCGAAGGCGGCCGACAAAGCGGGTCGTTTCGCGTTGACTGCTCCCGGAGAATGAGTGCGCCTTGGCGGAGAAATGATGCGCAGTTATCGCGGGAGAATGTCACGCTGAATGCTAAAGACATCGGAACCGGTGTTCCGTGTACTTGAAAATTGTAATTTGCGACGAATCATCGCGTAGGAGTGGACTACCGTCGGTGCCAAGATATTTTGAATGTTACATTGCAAAATTATTTCGCAATATATAAAAGTTGCACGAAAGATGATTTCGGATGTCGAATTTGATGTATCTTCAACTAAACAAATCCTCCACTTTTAAGAGCCCTATCGAATCAAAATTCTGTGCACCAACAGCGAGCGTATCATATTATTTCTCCGATAATAGCATCGATTTGCGCATACTTGTACGGTTTTCCGTCGATTATGCATTGCACGTTGCACCATTTCCTTCCTGGCTTCCTGCGACGCGCTGTTATGTGCTTTCTAGGAACGAATGACACGAGAATGCGCGTCAGCTTTACATAAAGATGCCAGGGAAGACGCCGGGGCTTTTTAACTCGCGTCGATACACAACCGCAGCGATCACGAACGTATTTTCATGATCAAGATCGAACGTGGAAAGCGAACGAGGAGCGGCGGAGAGTCGCATGGTAACAACTCGTTATTGGCTTATGAGCCTATCAGCCGATAATGCGTTTTTCCCACTTTGTGCAAACTCCGGTACACGTCAGGCGTGCATACGAGAGCGTAACCCGCATCTCTCTCTCTCTCTCTCTCTCTCTCTCTCTCTCTCTCTCGCGTCGTACGTACGTACGTACGTACGTACGTACGTACGTACGTACGTACGTACGTACGACCGTTAGTCCGGTAAAGGACCCGGTACGGTACGGTTTACGGGGTACGGTACGGTACGGTACGGTACGGTACGGTACGGTAACGGTACGGTACGGTAACGGTAACGGTAACGGTAACGGTACGGTACGGTACGGTACGGTACGGTACGGTACGGTACGGTACGGTACGGTACGGTACCGTACGTACGTACGTACGTACGTACGTACGTACGTACGTACGTACGTACGTACGTACGTACGTACGTACGTACGTACGTACGTACTGTTCTATGGGGCGCGTCGCTTCTCTCTCTCTCTCTCTCTCTCTCTCTCTCTCTTTCTCCCTGGCCGTAGGAAGAACCGGTAATAGCATTGCGCGCACACGCCTCACCGCTTGCAAAATCCTTCACAGCTGCTTGATCGTAGAATTACTTATTGTAGGTCTTATTTGACTCTTAGGCGACTCGCGGCATGATGTATTACGCTCGCTGATTTCCGAGGATGTATCAATGACGATCGTATCGGCGAATTTATTTTCCATAATCGCGCGATCGAATATTTATGAGATGAGCGAGTCGCGCGTACGAGTATTTTTCTGCATGGAAATTAGCCTTTTCACTACGAAAGAGTAAAATTAAATTATGTCAGAGCAATTTCGTGCTTTCCTCGTAAGTGAATAATTTTTCTATTTTTTTTATGTATGCAGATGTATACACACACACAAAGATAATACACAAAGATAAAACTTATTAGAATTAAAATACAGTAGAAAATTTCCTCTAGCATAATTAATAAACAGAATTGTGAATAACAGAAAGAAGTAAAATAAATTCTTTAACGAACGCGCGCGCGCGCGTAACCATCGTTGTATATTTAATTAAATGTAACGACATATATATATATATGCGTAACACGGTTTGTTGTTTATCAAAACATGGTTGTGTGTGCCTTGACGAACTATTCCGTCTCTCGCGTAAACATTTAATCTCCCTGAGCACTAAGTGTTAAATTAGAAATTATCGGAAAACAGTATCGTTTATACGTCGAGCCGCCATAAAAGCTTTATCTCCTCATTGTATTCATGAGAGACTTAACGCCCGCGATACGCTTCGTTGAAATCAATTCCCCCGGACGCGGTAAGCACTCCGGCGGCCACAAAATTATTCATCGATTGTTTTCTTTTCATCTCCGCGGACTACGGAGGGGACAGATTATCGTTTCAGGCAGGTGCCATTTTCTCGTCGTGGCCGTCCTTTTGGATAGCCAGCCAGCGTCGTCTGCCGCGGAAACGGGGATTTCGCAATTATTATGCCGTCGACGCGACGGGGCAGATTCCGCTTACGATCGGTATCGTTTACAATACACAGACACACACACACATATATATATATATATATATATATATATATATATATGCACGTATTTATATATTTACGTACTCACACCAGCAGCTTGCACGCGGACGGCATGCGCCCGCACGCGTGCGCACGTATAGGAGCTCGTTTAAGCCGCGATGTAAGCCGCGGAGGCTTCCCGTGATATCCTAGTTCAACGTCGAATCTCTTCGTTTGCATAGGAATGAGTTTATGCAGATTAATACACGCGAGACGTCCGTGTAGGGAACGCCACGTGGGATGTAACGCAGCACCTACACAAAGCTGCGAGTGTACATGCATATTTTATTGGCGGCATCGCGCTTGCGGATTTCCGATCGCGCAAACGCGCCACACGCGTCGCGGGAGCATTCGCGATTTGCCATGTGCAAGTCTCTGTGCCTAGCCCTGTGTCTCGATTCCATTTAATTTATGTAACTTACAATTAGCCTCGTTTGATTTAATTTTTTTGAGTAATCCTGAAGATGTAACAAAGTCGTCTCACGTCACTCTTATATTTTATTTTCGAAATGTAGTTTTGAGATTAAAAATTTTTCCGAAATATTTGGCTGTTTCGAAATTAGTGTGATATTTGCAAGCTGTTTGCAAATTAGATTTTTATTTGGGGATAATATATGTCGCAAGGGTACTTTTCGTCGACACGTTGTTTATAATCTCTGCAAAACAGTGCGACTTGTACGATTTGTAAAGAAGTCAGCATGTATTATTAAATAACAGACAAAGTTTCGCGAGATACGTTTGTCCTTTTTCCTGTTGTGAGCCCGCGAAAGAAATCGCTCCCGACAAATCGTCGAGTTGACCTTAATTGCGCGGAAGCCAAGGAGAAACGACCTCGGCGACATGGAGGCGAAGTTCCCCGTACAAAACGAAGCCAATGAATTTAGTAATCCGCTCTGTCGGCGAAGTCGTTGTCCAGGATGGGGCTGGGATAGCGAAGAAAGAGGTACGAGGAGAGCAGGATATCTTGTTGGAAAAACGATCCTTATCAGTCGTAAAAACACACATGCGCCGACTCTCGTGGAGAAATACGAGCTAACCGCGAACGTAACCACGCCCGACGAATGGAACATTAATGTCAGTTAATTATCTGTAAAGCATTCGAGAAAGGGAAGACCCGTTTTCCAAGCGGAGTCGTTTTTGTAAGGCGTGGGCGAGATGGACACGCTCGTGAAATCACAGTACCGACGTGTATCTTCCATCGTTGAGAAAAAAATGCCGCCTGTTTACGGATTCCGAGAGACTGTAGCTGGCGGGAGACCTGTCGTCAGGCCAGATGACTCGGAAGATTATAACAAGGCGGTGATTCTTTGCGAGCCTTAAAGATACTGAATTTTTTCGTAATTATTTTTTAATATATTAAGAAAGAAAAGTTACATGCTATATTAATTATATATCTTAATATATTAATTTATTTATATTTCGCACAGTTGTATTTGCTTCAACTTTGCCGTAATTACGAAAGCCTTATATATTGATTTTAATATTTCTATGTGCGATTTAATTATAATTGATTTAGCTGTGTGCGAGGTGCTGCGTGAACGTTCGCGATTTTCGTCCTGAGATATCAATTCGCTGTGAGAAAACTGTAAATCCAGGAAGATAGCGTATTATGCGGAGAGCAAAACGCAGCAGAGGATGCGAGTGAATTTACGGATTGATCTCAGCCATGATCCCTGTGTCGTGTTCGAAGGCACGCCTCGATGACTCAGATCCATTCTAGTTAGGATTTCGCGTATCCTTAGCTCTATGAGTAGATCTAGCAAGAGTCTACGCGCAAACACGATTGATTGCTGCGGTTTGCATTTCTCTCACAAATATTGCATTATAAAATAAAATTTTATTTCGCTAATTACGCGCAGTTTCTACGGAAATTATATCGCGCCCATGTCGCTTGCGATATTGAACGATATTTTATGCACAATCATTCTTTTGAGACGATATATATCTTTTTTATTTGATTAAACGTACGAGATGCTTGCGGGGAGCTATAAATTTCTCGTGCGGGATATTTAATTTTCCTTCATTCTTCCGCCTTGCTGAATTCAGTTACTCAGTGAGGAATTGAAGTGCAAGAAAGCTTTCTGAGTGTTCATCGTTTCCCATCGACAGACGTCGCGGATAAGATAACGTAGAATTATAGAGGGCTTTATTCGAGGATCGTCTATCACACGGCGTTTAGATTTATGGCGCTGTATGTAGTGGCCGGTCGACTTTCCATTTATCAGAACGCCGGTACCTGTAGCATTTTGGGCGCGGATGGCTGCGCGAAACAGCCGCAAACTTCGATCCTACGAACAAATGGACGGAGTCTCGCGAAAGAAACGGGCGGACGGAAAAATCACAATGGGAGGCAGCGTCGGATGCCCCGGCATTCCCTTCCTATTGTCCGTCGACTCGTGAAAAATGCACGCTGATTTTCCGTAACAATGCTGACGAAAGGAGGATTTTACTGATCGCAGCCGGACTAAAGAGAGACCGTGAGGTATTCTGGCTGCGTCCGAGATGATATCCCGACTGTTACTACAATGTATAATATATGACGTGTAATATCGCGAGAATGTTGTGTTTGCTACAAAATGATAGGTATTATTAACATTTTCTTTGATATATATTCTAATTCTACCCGTTATTTTTTTTATATCTCTCTCACAATTGTTTTGCGCATTTCTTCTTGCACGGTGAGATGAGATAAAATCAGAAACACAAGTGCCTGCCAATAACTTTG